TGAAAAGATACTACTATAGAATATAGAATTTCATGTTATTAACTTTCATGTCATTCACATGCATCTTAACTTGTAAATTTATTTTTTCCCTATTATCACATTTTGTATTATTTCAGTACATCACACAAAGATATAGTAGTATTAGAAGTAATTACATGTGCATCACACGGGTACTATAATAGTATACGATTAAAATAATCATGTTGGACAAAAAAATGATTAATAATTATTCAATTTGTATATCATATTGACCATTAAAATATACTTATAAAAATTTAGTCACACTTTTATCCATAAATTTTAAATGATAATAATTTTGGAAAAACTCCATTATTTAATTGTTATACCCGACCCCACAGGGTCCAAAGTCATGTGCTCCATATCCAATGCTATCCTCACAAATCATTAAGCCTTGGGAAACTTTCTAATTTTGGCGAATCTTGGACATAAACTTTGAAGGTTAAAAGTTATTTTATAAATTCTAGGTGCCCATATACATATATAAGTTTGATAGACTATAAGTCTAGAGAGAAGTGAGAGCTAGAGAGAGAAGTACTATAATTGTTCTGTATTAATGAATTGTGAACCCTTACAACTACTCCCAGATGAAGTATTTATAGGAAAAAATAGGGCTGGGTTCCCAAGTCTTGGGCTTAGGAGCCCCATCTACAATAGGGCCACTAATGGGCCGGATACAAAATACATAGAAAAGATTAGGTGTAAATCCTGTTCAGGAGACTGTCTATGGCCGACGAGGGCATGGCCGACGAGGTCACCCGGCTCTTTCCGGCTTCTGGATCACATTCTGAGTAGACTTCTTTCTGGCCGATGGGGGTCATCTGGCCGACGAGGGTCCCACTAGGTGGTCGTGGTACCTTTTGTTCTCCCGAGTATGTGGGCCCTGGGGTCCAGGCCCATATACTCCATCAGGAGTCCCCCACTCTCTGAGCTGAGATGAAGACGAAGTGAAGGAGAGTAGAGTCCCTGGTGTTGACTTTTTCCTGGCCGTCGTGGGTCCGCTATGGAGTCTCGGCCATTACGGGCACCCTTTTCTCTGGTCCTTGATTTTCATTGTTACGTGTGTACTGCGTTCTGGCCGTTGTGTGGTCTTCGCTGTAGAAGAAGAGGGCCTTAGTAATGCGGATGATGCATGTTTCTGGTTTTTAAAGACGATGAGTGCCTTTGCTTGGTGGAGACGGTGAGCGTTCTCTTGCGTGAGTGGCCGATGAAGGCCATGTTTCCCTACTCATGGTCGTTGATGGTTGAACTTTGCATTCATGGCCAAGGAGACCATTGTGGTTATTTCCTGTTCGAGGACGATGAGTGTCCTTCTTCCTCCGGGTAGTTGGTGAGGGTGTTGTTTGCTTTATTTGGCCGTTGTGGCTCTCATTCTGTGGCTTTGGCTGACGAGTGATGGTATTCGCAGCTTGGTGTCCATGTTTTGAGGACGATGAGTTCCAGTCCTAATTTCTGGCCGAGAGTGGAGTATGCGGTCTCAAAGCCGTTGAGTGCACTGTGGTCTTAGGTGTTGCATCTTTGGAGGGAATTCTTTGTCTGCTTACTTTGTTGCGGCCGATGGTGCACGACAACGTTATGGACGTTGTGGTGCATACATGATCTGATGTTGTAGTTGTGAACTTAGTTTATTTTTGGATTTCTTTGATTTTGTCCTGATTTTCAAAGGCCGGTGTAGTCCCCCAGTCCCCCACTACTTCAGGCTGAAGAGTAAGCGAGGGGTGAAGGAGTAAAGGATTTCCCTAGGCCGAAACGGATTTTTGCATTCCCCTGAATCCAGTTCCTTGGCGATTTCCTGACCAAGGTAACCCTGTGGGAGAACCCTTGGACGCAGGTCGCTTTTAAGAAATTATCATCAGGTTTTACACAAGGCCGATGGCGTGGGGTTTCTTTTTGCTTTGCCGTTGTGGCCGTTGAAAAGGCCATGATGTTGGCATTCTGTTTAAGCCGATATGGACATACCTTGAGATGTGACCTACCCTTTTGAGGTCATCCTTGTGTTGAGGCCGATGTAGGCGCGCTTTCTTAGCGTGGTCGTTGAGTAGTTGGCTGTTGCGGGCGCTGATTGTTGGCATGTTAGCGATGGGCTGGTACTGTGGAAGTGGGCCTGACCCGTCTCCTGAACCGGTACCAGCCCAATGAGCCTTGGGGGGGGGTCGTTCATGTGGCCAACGGGTATGTGCCACGTGTAGTGACCGTTACGGGGGGGGGGGGGGGGGGGGTCGTCTATAAATACCCCTCTCCCTCAGAAGAGGCTCCTCATTGCATTCCTGAGATAACGAAGTGCTGCCACAATTTCTAGAGAGAGAGAGCCTTTCCGTGTGTTCTTCCGTTCTTCAAAACTTCAAAAGTCAGTTCATTGAACTTTTCTCCACTTCCTTGCATACTTTGCTTCTTTTAGTCTTTGATCCGCTGTTAGTGGAGAACCACCCTTAGATCCTAAGTAGCACCCTCTAGGCTCTAGTTAGTTGTTATGATGAAGCCCTTGGACGATGAGTATTACCCATATGATGATGAGCCCTCCGTTAAATCCCTTGACTACCGGGTAGTAGAGGAGTGCTGTGAGGAGATAGAGGATTTGAGCTCCTTCAAATCAGGGTAGCAGGAGGGTAGCGAAGGTGAAGATGAAGAGACCGCCTCGTCGTCTGACGGTGAGGACGTAGTGGTCTCCCGTGTTGTGGATGAAGCGTCTACCTCGGCTGCAATTCCTTGCCCGAAGCCGGTTTCTGCTGTGAAGGGGGCTGCCCCGACGAGAAGGCGTCGGCCGAAGAAGGGTCCAGGTTACTCCTACCTGGACCTAACGAACATTTATCTGATCAAGCTGAAGAGCAGCGTGGCTGATTACCTGGTGGCCCAGATGTATGTGGAGCCGTATGGGAGCGTTAGGGCGCCCAGGCCGACGGATCATGTGTTGAATCCACCTCCGGGGTATTTTGGAGTATACCCCATGAGTTTTGCAAAGGGGCTCAGGTTTCCCCTCCATCCGTTCATTACGGAGTACTTGGACATTGTGGGTCTCCCTCCGGCCCTGTTGACTCCGAACAGCTATTCCCTCATCGTCGGCTTTCTCCTCCGCTGCGATGAGCTGGACTTCATGCCGACGACGGCTTTGTTCATGAACTTATATCATATAGGCCGGGGTAGCCACAAGAATTGTGCTGGCTATGCCAACCTTCAACAGCTGCCGAAGAAGAGGAGATTTACCGACCTTCCCTCGTCCATTCACGGCTGGAAGAGTAAGTTTGTCTTTGTATTGCTGGGCGAGGGTGGCACTGAATCCCCCTCCGTCGGCCATGACGAGAGATTTAGCCTCCACGATGTGCCGAATAGTGGCATTTTGGATGCCCAGGTGGCGGCATTCTTGAAAGGGGGGTCGAGGAGCGTGAAAGAGTACATAACGGAGTATAAGATGACCGCCCTCGGCTTCATGAGGTACTATGTGTACGGCGACAAGGAGAGCGACACGGAGATGTGGCCGAGGATGACCACCACGTTTGAGGAGGCCGATGGCCCAGATTTGGGTTTGCCCGCTGATGCTGATGGTAATACCCTCCCTGACGTCTTCGTCTATATTTGCTTTTGTCTTTTGTTAACTGTCCTTTTGTTTTCATTGTTGTACAGACTTCGTAATGGATCCCAGATCCGTCATGACCCTTGCAAAAGTGAAGGCGAAGGAGGAGATGGCGGCCAAGGAGGCCGCAAAGCTGGCGGCTGCGAGTGGCGTGCAGCCAAGCTCGGACGCGACGAAGAAGCCGCTCACACAGCCGAAGAAAAAACGGCCAGCGGATGACGGCCAGAGAAAGCTGACCGAGGCTGGTATGCAGCCCAAGAAGACGAAGAGGGCTTCTCCTTCGGCTGAAGCTGAAGCCGAGGTTGCCACCATGCCGACCGACGATGCTGGGGGTTCCACTGTCATTTCCGTCGTCGATGCGGTTTCAGTCCCCTCCTCGACTACTATGCCCCAGCCACTTCCTGCCGACCAGGATTCCCGGAAAAGGAGAGCCGGAAAAGAGCTGGCCGTCAGGACTTACAAGCTCCAAGTCGAGTACCCCGTCAGGGGTGGTGTTTTCAATGATGCCGTTGACGGCCACGACGTGCTCGCCCAAGCTATCCCGGTCGAGGACCGGGCTTATCTGAAGAAGCTTGGCCCTATCAGGATCTATGACGGCAGGATGGACCTTATCGTCCAAGTAAGTTCCTTGTACCGTGCGTATTTTTTGTCACGAGTCCTCGCATCATCCTAATCTCCTCTTTTTTTTTGTTGTAGGGTGCCCTTATGCTGATGGAGAGCCATAAGCGGCAAGAACAGGAGATTGACCGGTTGAAGGAGGCCGAGCAAAAAGCTGCTTCGGCCGAGGATGCCATGGCCTGCCTGGATCGGCTCCGGGTGTAACACTGTCCCCAAGTATATTTACTTTTAGTAAATCATGTAATGAATCCTGAATATTGATTTATGAATTTACATGGTTGTAAATTTTTGGTTATTTCTTTCGCGTGAATAGTGAACCGCACGTGGGGCCCACATCGGGAGCGGGGACCACCCGATAATTCCGGGACCACATATTATATTCATCTTGGTCTAGATAATATTTATATGATGGTATATATTTTAGTTGGGCCATAGAAAGGGCTTAGGGTTGACCCATCGGTCAAACGAAGCCCAACTACCGGTATTGACAATTTATCAGATAACAGCCCGAAACATATTTCGGAGACTTCTAAATTAAAGATGACGAATGTGTATTCATTCTAAGAGTCCATAAGGATGGAAAATACATAATATGTTTTATTTGACCCGTTAAAATAAAATATAATTAAAACAGTCCGAAAAATACAACTTTTGGTACCGATTGTACACCTCGGGAGTTAATGGGTTGACCTCCCACATGTGTGGGGGCCAACCCACGTTTTTTGGTCACTAAAGCCAATGGTTGGCCGGCTGGAATGAGAGGAAGAGGGGTGAGAGAGGGTGAGGTGAAGGGGATGGCATCTAAAGGACATGAGGTGGACCTCCCATCCACACTCATTTGTCCAATGAGACAAAAGGACCATTCCTACTCCCTTATCCCTCTCATTTTCGACCAAGCCTCTCAAAGGAAGAGTAAAACCTCTGCAAAACTCCATTCCTCCATAGCCAAGTGAGATCAAGAAGACAAATTCCAAGTAGGAAGACTTAAGGAAGAAAAAGTGATCGAGGAAAAAGCGTGGTGATTAAGGTAATGACCTTATATTAACTTTTCCTCTACTCTTAGCTACCATATGGATTATAAATCATATGAGGAACCCCTAGGCTTGTTCTACATGTTTAGAAATGTGGAATGAGGGGTTGGAAGGTAGTTCTAAGTCCAAGAACGGACTTAGAAGCTAAAATGATCGGTTTGCCGGAAAATAACCTTTTGGAGGTTATTGGTGTTGATATGGGTTTTATGATAATAAAACCATGTTAGGGGCTTGACTAAAGTTTTTCTAGAGTTCGCCGGAGTTTCGCCGGAGTTCGCCGGAGCTTCGCCGGAGTTTCGCCGATGTTCAACTAAGGGGAGTAGAATCTTCTTAAAGCTCATTTGAGGTGAGTGGATGGCTTAATGTCTTGTAACTTTTGGGTTAAGCATGAGATTACCTAAGTATATGTTATGTGTGTTCATAATAATGTTTAAATGAATTAAACATGTGATTAGCCAATTAAAGTGATTAGGCTTGTATGAAGTGAACTATTGAAATATGTATGATTTGTGAAGTGAAAATGCTCATAAAAACATGTGTGATATGTTTAGAGATGAAATGTGCATAAAATAGTTATTTATAACTTAGTACATATTGTGACTAAGTTTGACACACATTGGATTTGGAATGGCGGGTCAACCGAGAGTTGACCGGCGCCGGTTTGGCCTTACTTTACCTATATGCTAATTCTAATGCATGAGTTGCATGGATGATTTTGTTTAGGCCTTAAGACTTAGTCTAGTCTTGTTTATTGATTATGATATAGGCCCTATCTAGTATGATATGTGGTAGATCATAGGTCGGTTGGAGTACCCAAGGATCGGGCGGTATCCTCAAAACTCGGTTATATAGGGTGGAGTACCCAAGGATCAGGTGTGTATCCTCAAAACTCATAGATTACTATTTAGTAATTCAGGACCGGGCGGTGTCCTTATGATTATTTGATTTGGACAGGAGGAGTCCTATACACTCATACGTCTATGGGTGTGTTGGGGTTTTAAGTCAAGGATATTGACTACTTTTATTTTTCCCAATTAAATAATGACCTACGGGTCGGGTATTTCCAAGTGTATATAAGTACTGATATGTATTTTGGAACTTGGGGTAAGGAAGTATAAGTATATGTATCACCCTATGTTTGGGTCTTATGCTTGAAACGTTAGTTACTCTACATTTAGCTTGATACTCGCTCAGTACTTGTACTGACCCCTTCGGGGGGGCCACCATTTCAGGTTGGAGCTAGAGCCTACTGTCTACACCTTTGCACGGGTGGAAGGAATCTAGAGGATATGTATTTTGTAACTTGGGGTAAGGAAGTATAAGTATATGTTTCACCCTATGTTTGGGTCTTATACTTGAAACGTTAGTTACTCTACATTTAGCTTGATACTCACGCCACATGACTTTTAGTGAAGTAGTGGAGCAGGGCATGCTTGGGGAGACCCATTCGAATGAGAGAAAGGAAAGGGACACCAAGGAGGCGAAAAAGAGGAAGTGGATCAATCCGGGGCAACCCGACCATTCTCGGAAGAACAACCACGGCGATGGTGGTTCATTTAGACCACCGGCTCCGCCAGCAAAGAAGAGTAAAGATGCAAGGTGGCACGGACCTAGGCCACAGAATTCGGGGGCCCCTAGATGTCCCAATTGCACTAAGCAGCACTTTGGGAAGTGCAATGAAGCATCGAGGTGCTTTAAATGCGGGAATGCGGGCCATATGAAGGCCAATTGCCCTCAAGTGATGCATGGCAATGTGATGGGAGTCGGAGGGGGAGCCATGACGGGAAGGAACCGGGTAGGGGCGTCACACGGCGGCACGGGAAGAGGCGGCCCATCAACAAGCAACGCCGCGTCCGTCAACCAAGGTGGGGCCCAAGCGAGGGTTTATGCCATGACCGAAGCAGATGCGCGCGCTAACCCGGACTCCATTGCAGGTAATACATTAAATTTTGACGGTTTCTAGACTTATATTGATGATGTAGGTCGAAAGATTGAGTACGGCCCACCCCGGGGGGAACCGGGAAAGTTATGGCCGAAAAGGGGGTGGTTTTGGCTACTGCACGCCACGCACGCCGTGCCTGGCCTGCAGGCACGCCGTGCCTCCGCAGTGCCTGGGTGGCAGTAGCTACTCGAGGAAAAATGGTCCCAGGCATGTCGTGCCTGGCCTGCAGGCACACCGTGCCTCCACAGTGCCTGGGTGGCGGTAGCTACCCGGAAGTATTTTAAGCCACGCACGCTGTGCGTGCCTCCTAGGCACATCGTGCGTGGCACCTAGACTACCCAACGTCAATAGTTTCACACCGAATTGCAACGTTAAGACCTCTCCTTGATCCCAAACATGTGTATGAACATAACAAACTTCCACAGATGTATAATTATGGTAGGGAAGATATCTTACATGGCTCATAAATGTAGGAACACTAAATATCAATGATAGAAACGCAAGAATTCTCATCGATACCGGGGCACAACGCTCATTTGTGAGCGAAGCGTTTGCCGAAGGTCTTGATGTGCCATTGATGCCGATGACTCAGACCTTGTTAGTCTCCACACCATTAGGAGATGATGTGGAAAGGGACCACTATTATCAATCGTGTGAGGTAGAAGTGACGGGTCAACTCTTGACTTGTGATTTCGTACCTCTAAGTATGTTGGAGTTTGATGCGATCCTAGGGATGGATTGGCTCGAAAGGCATCATGCTAGGGTTGATTGCTACACCAAGGTATTAGAGCTTGAGGATGATGAGGGAAACATCATACGTTTCAAGGGAGATCGAGGGAGATCTCAAAATTGTATCATATCCGTGATGAGAACACGAAAGATGATGAAGAAAGGTTGCCACGCGTACCTTGCTTACGTGGTGGATGAGACAAAGAAAGAGGTCGACATCAACGATGTACGTGTCGTGTGTAAGTACCCGGACGTCTTTCCTAAAGACCTACCGGGGCTACCACCCGATAGAGAAATTGAATTCGTAATTGAAGTTGAGCCGGGAACCAAACTCACTTCGATTCCTCCTTACCGAATGGCACCGGTGGAACTTCAAGAATTGAAGGTTCAATTACAAGAGCTATTGGATAATGGGTTCATTAGACCTAGTCATTCACCATGGGGAGAACCCGTACTCTTCGTGAAGAAGAAAGATGGTACACTAAGAATGTGTATCGAGTACCGACAGTTGAACAAAGTCACCATCAAGAACATGTATCCTTTACCTAGGATTGATGACTTGTTTGATCAACTTCGAGGGGCGATAGTATTCTCGAAGATTGATTTAAGGTCGGGGTATCATCAGTTGAAGATCAAGGAAAGTGACATACCGAAGAGTGCCTTTCGCACTAGATATGGGCATTACGAGTTCCTTGTGATGTCATTTGGTTTAACCAACGCACCGGCGGCATTCATGGAATCGATGAACCGTGTGTTTAGTGAATACTTAGATCAATTTGTGATAGTATTCATTGATGATATATTGATATACTCCAAGAGCGAAGAGGAGCACGAGCATCATTTGGGGCTTGTACTGAATCGGTTAAGAGAAAAGCAACTCTTTGCCAAGTTCTCTAAATGTGAATTTTGGCTCAAAAAGTGTGGCTTTCTCGGGCACGTCATATCTGGTTCGGACGTTTCTGTGGACAACGCCAAAATATAGGCCATTATAGATTGGAAGAGGCCCAAGAATGCAAAAGAAATACGCAGTTTCCTTGGTTTAGCGGGGGTACTACCGTAAGTTCGTGGAGAAATTCTCCGTATTGGCGTCTCCATTAACAAAGCTCACAAAGAAGGGAGCCAAGTTCTTATGGGACAACAAGTGTGAGAAAGGATTTCTTGAACTAAAGAAAAGACTTACCGAAGCACCAGTTCTCGCCTTACCCATACAGGGGATAGGGTATGATATTTACAGTGATGCTAGCATCCAAGGGCTTAGATGTGTACTGATGCAAAAGGGAAAGGTGATTGCCTATGCTTCTAGGCAATTGAGGAAACACGAGGTGAACTACCCTACCCATGACCTAGAGTTGGGGGTGGTAGTGTTTGCACTAAAGATTTGAAGGCATTATCTCTACGGGGAGACATGTCACATCTACACCGATCATAAGAGCTTGAAGTACGTATTCACTCAGAAAGAGTTGAATATGAGGCAGAGGAGGTGGATGGAGTTGATCAAGGACTATGACTTGATCATCGACTATCACCCCGGGAAGGCCAATGTAGTGGCCGATGCACTAAACAGGAAAGGCACATCGGGGATGTTACTCACATGCCTACGGGCATTACGGGCACGCGTGGAGGTGACCACAAGCGGGGCCCTCATAGCGAGGTTCGAGGTTAGACCTACCTTGATGGATGAGATCAACAGAGGTCAGGGCATTGATGAAGAATGTCAGAAGATCCGCAAACGGATCCTTGCGGGGCCCGTTGAGAATTTTCAGGTACGCGATGATGGTCTTTTGTTGTTCAAAGATCGCATATGCGTACCAAAGGATGAGGAACTTCGGAAATCCATACTTGAGGAGGCTCATTCTTCAGCCTATGCTATGCATCCAGGAGGTACAAAAATGTACCGAGACCTGAAAGAAAGTTATTGGTGGTCCGGTATGAAGAGAGACATCGCGGAATATGTGAGTCGATGCCTTACTTGTCACCAAGTTAAGGCACAACATCAGCACCCGACGGGGTTTTTACAGCCACTTACCATCCCAGAATGGAAGTGGGAACATGAGACCATGGACTTTGTGGTAGGATTACCACGGACGGTGAAAAACTACGATGTCGTATGGGTGGTGGTTGATAGGCTTACAAATATTTCACACTTCTTGTAACACCGACCCCGAGCATATTTACTTTTAGTAAATCATGTAATAAACCTTGAAAGATGATTTATGAATTTGCGTAATTGTAAATTTTTATTATTTCTTTTACGTGAATAGTAAATTGCATGTGGGGCCCACAGCGGGAACGGGGACCGCCCGATAATTCCCGAACCACATATTTCATTCATATTGGTCTAGATGACATCTATATGGTGGTGGATTTTCTATTTGGGCCATAAGAAAGGCATGGAGCTGACCGGTCGGTCAAACGGGGCCCAATTACCGGTGTTGGAAATTTAACGGATAACAGCCCGAAATGAGTTTCGGAGGCTCCTAAATTAATGTTGGGGAATGTACATCTATCCTAAAGGCCCATAAGTATTAGGGACGCGTGATATATTTTATTTGGCCCGATAAAATAAAATATGATTAAAACAGCCTGAGAAATACAACTTTCGGGGCCGATTATACATACCGGGACTTAATGGGATGACCTCCCACATGAGTGGGGGCCACCCCACGTTTTTATGTATCACAAATGACTGAAGGAGAGCTGGGAGGGACAACCAAACATGGTTGGTGCGGACTAGAGGATGGGAAGCCTCCTAGGGACAAAACCCCACACCTCATGTCCCATTTCTTGGCTTATCTTGAGGGTAGTTGTGTGGAGATACTCCTCCCCTATCCCTCACATCATTTTCGGCCAGAACAAGAGGAGGAACTCCAAGAAAAAGCCAGAGCTCAAGCCTTAGTTGGAGGGAGGGAAAAGCTAGGAAAAATCCGCAAGAAATAGTTGAGTTCAAGGTAAGAACTCCACAACTATTAGTTAACTAGTTTATTGTTGTATGATTTTTAAGAAATCATATGGTGGATTAAACCTTGAGTTCTACACGTTTAAAAGTGTATAATATTGATATAAAGTGGTGATATTTAACTTAGAAGAGTTGGTGAATCGATAGGAGTCGAAATCGCCGGAAACCGCCACTTTAAGGGAGCTGCTCGTTTCTGCAGAACACGAAAGCCGTCCGGCTTTCGTGAAAGCCGCCCGGCTTTTGCCCAGGCAGTCCAGTTTTTGCCTTTCATCGGTTTAAAATGAGGATTTATCGGGGAGCTCAATGAAGGCAACTATTTCAGCACATCATAAGGTGAGGATGACTGACTATATTGCTTATAATTAGTGAGTTAATTTCATGAGATTACCGAAGGTAATTAAATGTGTTTTTATGGATTATTAATTATTAATAATGCCAAAAAATGAAAAGACTAAATGTCTAGAGAAAAAGGAGCACGATATACAAATTTAGGAGTAAATTGTGTATGTTCATGTGTTAGGAGTATGTTGACTTGAAAGTGGAATTTATTATGAAACATGTGTTGAAATATACTTTTTTCTTCATATTAGAATATATGAGTGATTAAAAGTGATATTTTGGATATTGAGATAAATGATATTTTCAAAGGAAAATCAGTTGGAATATTCTATATGACTATGAGTTGTGAACTTGACTTGTTGATATTAATTTGACTAGTATTAAGATACTAGTTGGACATTAAAATGAAATGTTGTTAAGATTGATCCTAAGGTTGGATTGTGACATGTTATGCCTTAAGTAGTCTTAAGAGATGCTTTAAGGTAGGAAAGTATGAACTTTAAGTTATACTAGGGGTAGGCCTTAAGGGATACCCAAGATAATGTAAACATTAAATTGATCCTAAGTATAGGATTGGCCTACGGATGTGTTCGGAAATCCTTGTGGATAGCCGGTTGAATTATGGGAATAGTAAGGACCATGGCCCTTCCCGACTCTAGAGAGCGGGGTTGGATAGCATGGACTTACATCGTGATCACGGGTTAGGGTGGAATCTGAATCGGAGACCTAACTAGGTTCCGGTAGCGGTAACACATAAGATAGGACCCCGAAGGGCCTTACCTTCCTACGGGATGATGGGTACGAGCCCAGGGGCGGGATGTTGGAGTCCGAACCGGGAGCCTCATGAGGTCTCAGACAGCGGTAGCAAGTCCCGTAGAAATAATAGGACCCAAGGGTTGGGTTGTGCAAATGATAAATGAAAAGGGATATATAAAAAGGGCCGTGTGCCGACAAATAAATAAATTTACTTATTATAAAGATAATAAGTGGGAATATAAATTATTATTTATATTATGATATCACTCTATATTGAGGATCTTGGAAATTAAAACGTTGATTATACTTTGTATAGTTGTTATTGTACTTGTCAAATATTTCGAAGTACTGACCTCCCCTTCACGGGGGAGGCCACCTCACAGTTTCAGGTAGAACTTGAAGTTGCTACCATTGCCCGTTTCTTCGGGAGGCTCAAGGGAGAAAGACGTGGTTCGTGCTTCTTCCGTTCTGTTTTAAAAACAATTAAGTTAATGCTCATGGATACTATTTTATTAATAATTACTTTGGGGGCTTGTATGCCTAGTTATGCCAAGTGTGGCTTGAACAATTGTATTAATGCTTCCGCTGTTTTAAATGCATGTTTTACATTATGTTCGTTTATGGATGTACTATGAGTGAATGATATTCATGACGCCTTGTATAGTATGGATGAGTTGAACTGCGGTTGACTATTCGTACTGTACGGCGGGTTGTTGACGTGTCCGGCTAGGTCCGGGGTGTGACACTTCTTGCCTATCAACATCACTTATCCTCTTGAACGATTGGCCAAGTTGTACACGGAGGAGATTGTGAGGCTGCATGGAGTTCCAATATCCATTGTATCGGATAGGGACCCACGATTCACATCCAGGTTTTGGCCAAAGTTTCAAGCGTCGTTGGGAACTAAACTGAAGTTTAGCACAACATTTCACCCACAGACGGATGGACAATCCGAACGGGTGATACAGATTCTGGAAGACATGCTGAGGGCATGTGCTTTGGAGTTCCAAGGGAGTTGGGACAAACACTTGGCCCTTGTGGAGTTTGCCTATAACAATAGTTATCAAGCGAGTATTGGCATGCCTCCATACGAGGCGTTGTATGGGAGGCAATGCAGAACCCCTCTGTGTTGGGACGAGGTTGGCGAGGCCAAACTTGAAGGCATAGAACTTGTCGAGATCACCAAGGCCAAGGTGAAGATTATTCGAGATAGGCTTAAATCTTCCCAAGATCGGCAGAAGAGCTATGCCGATAAACGGCGTAGGTCGTTAGAGTTTGCAGTTGGGGATGAGGTGTTTCTAAGGATTTCTCCTTGGAAAGGTATCATCCGATTCATATCGAGGGGTAAGCTTAACCCCCGATACATTGGTCTGTTTGAAATCCTTGAAAGGATTGGGGCCGTGGCTTACTGTCTCAAGTTATCACCTGAACTTGAGAAGATTTATGATGTGTTCCATGTATCGGTGCTCAAGAAGTATGTACGAGATCCGTCACATATTCTTGAGAACCGGTGAAGATAGTGGGTCAGCAGGTAAAGAGGCTTAGGAACAAGGAGATTCCTATGGTGAAGGTGCTTTGGAGGAGTGATCAATTCGAAGAAGAAACCTGGGAGACTGAGGTCTCAATGAGGGAGCAATACCCGTTTCTTTTCGATTACACACGTGATTTCGGAGACGAAATCCCAAATAAGGGGGGTGAACTTGTAACACCGTCCCCAAGTATATTTACTTTTAGTAAATCATGTAATAAATCCTGAATATTGATTTATGAATTTACGTAGTTGTAAATTTTTGGTTATTTCTTTCGCGTGAATAATGAACCGCATGTGGGGCCCACATCGGGAGCGGGGACCACCCGATAATTCCGGGACCACATATTATATTCATCTTGGTCTAGATAATATTTATATGATGGTATATATTTTAGTTGGGCCACAGAAAGGGCTTAGGGTTGACCCATCGGTCAAACGAAGCCCAACTACCGGTATTGGCAATTTATCAGACAACAGCCCGAAACAGATTTCGGAGACTTCTAAATTAAAGATGAGGAATGTGTATTCATTCTAAGAGTCCATAAGGATGGGAAACGCATAATATATTTTATTTGACCCGTTAAAATAAAATATAATTAAAACAGTCCGAAAAATACAACTTTCGGGACCGATTGTACACCTCAGGAGTTAATGGGTTGACCTCCCACATGTGTGGGGGCCAACCCACGTTTTTTAGTCACTAAAGCCAATGGCTGGCCGTCTCGAATGAGAGGAAGAGGGGTGAGAGAGGGTGAGGTGAAGGGGATGGCATCTAAAGGACATGAGGTGGACCTCCCATCCACACTCATTTGTCCAATGAGACAAAAGGATCATTCCTACTCCCTTATCCCTCTCATTTTCGACCAAGCCTCTCAAAGTAGGAGAAAAACTTCTGCAAAACTCCATTCCTCCATAGCGAAGTGAGCTCAAGAAAACAAAGTCCAAGGAGGAAGACTTAAGGAAGAAAAAGTGAGGAAAAAGCGTGGTGATTAAGGTAATGACCTTATATTAACTTTTCCTCTACTCTCTGATACCATATGGATTATAAATCATATTAGGAACCCCTAGGCTTGTTCTACATGTTTATAAATGTGGAATGAGGGGTTAGAAGGTAGCTCTAAGTCCAAGAACGGACTTAGAAGCTAAAATGACCGGTTCGCCGGAAAATAACCTTTTGGAGGTTATTGGTGTTGATATCGGTTTTATGATGATAAAAACATGTTAGGGGCTTGAATAAAGTGTTTATAGAGTTCGCCGGAGTTTCGCCGAAGTTCGCCGGAGCTTCGCCGGAGTTTCGCCGGAGTTCAACTAAGGGGAGTAGAATCTTCTTAAAGCTCATTTGAGGTGAGTGGATGACTTAATGTCTTGTAACTTTTGGGTTAATCATGAGATTACCTAAGTATATGTTATGTGTAATCATAATAATGTTTAAATGAATTAAACATGTGATTAGCCAATTAAAGTGATTAGGCTTGTATGAAGTGAACTATTGAAATATGCATGATTTGTGAAGTGAAAATGCTCATAAAAACATGTGTGATATGTTTAGAGATGAAATGTGCATAAAATAGTTATTTATAACTTAGTACATATTGTGACTAAGTTTGACACACATTGGATTTGGAATGGCGGGTCAACCGAGAGTTGACCGGCGCCGGTTTGGCCTTACTTTACCTATATGCTAATTTTAATGCATGAGTTGCATAGATGATTTTGTTTAGGCCTTAAGACTTAGTCTAGTCTTGTTTATTGATTATGATATAGGTCCTATCTAGTATGATATGTGGTAGCTCATAGGTCGGGTGGAGTACCCAAGGATCGGGCGATATCCTCAAAACTCGGTTATATAGGGTGGAGGACCCAAGGATCGGGCGGTTTCCTCAAAACTCGGTTATATAGGGTGGAGTACCCAAGGATCGGGCGTGTATCCTCAAAACTCATAGATTACTATTTAGTACTTCAGGACTGGGCGGTGTCCTTATGATTATTTGATTTGGACAGGAGGAGTCGTATACACTAATAGGTCTATGGGTGGGTTGGGGTTTTAAGTCAATGATATTGACTACTATTATTTTTCCCAATTAAATAATGACCTACGGGTCGGGTATTTCCAAGTGTATATAAGTACTGATATGTATTTTGTAACTTGGGGTAAGGAAGTATATGTATCACCCTATGTTTGGGTCTTATACTTGAAACGTTAGTTACTCTACATTTAGCTTGCTACTCGCTCGGTACTTGTACTGACCCCTTCGGGGGGGCACCATTTCAGGTTGGAGCTATAGCCTACTGTCTACACCTTTGCACGGGTGGAAGGAATCTAGAGGAAGACGTGGTTCGTGCTTCCTTTATTATTTCAAATCATAAACTATGCTCATGGATACTTTTGTAATATTACATTGTTTTGGCCTGCGAGCCTACGTTTTGCCATATGTGGCTTATGATTGACCGTTGAATATTTTCCGCTATTCATTCAATCTATGATGTGATGTTGCTATGTATGTTCACTACTGAGTATGGTGTGAACGATGTTCATGAACGCCTTGTGTGATTATGTGAGGTTGATTTGCGAGTGACGTCACTTAATCACACGGCGGTTGTACACACGTTTAGATGTGGTTTGGGGCGTGACACCGGGAAGAAGTGAAGGCCCTGCAGAAGGGTGTTGATGAGGCCGATGTGTCCTATCGTCAGGTGGCGGCCGACAGGGATGATGCTTTGAGAGCGAGGGATGAGGCGCTGCAGAGCCGCGATGATGCCCTGCTCCGGACCGAGGACGCCGCGAAAGCCCAAGTTGACGCTGAGAGGGCCGCTGAGAAAGCTGTTGACGACGCCGTCGAGAAATTCCTGGCCGGAGGCTGGAAGGCTGAAGACCGTCGGCCCTGGTGCTACGAGGTAGTGGCGGATCGTCTTGAAGATTGGGGCCAGAACTGCCCTGCTGGCCAATAATATTTTCAAAGGGAGATGTTTGTGTATTATGACATGGGCTCGGCCCAACTACATTTCCATGTCATCCTAGAGTCCAACTCTAATTATCTTCATAATCAAATTCTCAAGCAAATCCTATGCCTAGAATCAATTCCAGTAGGGGGCCTTTAGGCCTACCCCTATCACACCTTAGTGTTCATACAATTCAACCTTAAGTTTCTCTTGAGACTACTTAAGGCATATCTATTCACAATCCTACCTCTTAGGATTTGTTTCACCATTTATTTATATTAATTCCCGAACTAGTATTTTGATACTAATTGTATAATCTTAGAACATGCCAAGTTCCTATTTTCCATTTGGCATTTCATTTCAATTGATTTCCCAACCCAAGTATAGTTTGATCTCAATATCAAAAATATCACTTTAATCCATTCATGAATTTTCATACATCAAGTAAAGTATATTTTATCACAGTGTTATCATAGTAATTCCATTAACATGCCGTTCCATTCATTTCACATAATCATACACAATTATTCTAAATTTGTATATCATGCTTCACTTACTCATATCCATATTATTTCCATTTAGGCATTATTAATCATTAATAATCCATGAAAATCATATCTAATTACTTTAGGCAATCTTATGAAATTAACTCACTAATTATAAGCAATATAGTCAGCCATCCTCATCTTATGAAGTGCTGAAATAGTTGCCTTTGCTAAGCTCCTCGATCAATCCCCGTTCTAGGCCGATCGAAAGTGGAAAACTGGGCTTCTGGGCAAAAGCCGGGCGGCTTTCACGAAAGCCGGGCGGCTTTCGTGGTCTGCAACTACGACTAGCTCCTTTGAAGTGGCGGTTTCCGGTGATTTCGACTCCTATCGATTTGCCAACCCTTCTAAGTTAATTACCACCACTTTATATCAACATTCTACACTTTTAAACGTGTAGAACTCGTGGTTTAATCCACCATATGATTTCTTAAAAATCATACGACATAAACTAGTTAAAAGAAATGCTTAATGAGTTCTTACCCAACTCCTAGCTTTCCCTTCTTGGATTCTCCTCCCTCCTTGCTTCCCTTGACCTGGATCTTTGTGGAGATTTTTCCCAGAGCTTATCTCTCTGTAGTTGAGTTGTGGGTTGGTACAAGTGTGGTAGGGGATACTCCTCAATCAACCACAATATGGTTGTGGAGGATATGGCTTGGGGGTATGGGTTTTGTCTCAATTGAGACTTCCCACCTAATAAGCACGCCCCTAGCTGCTTCTTTGGTCCTTTGTAAGACATAAAATCGTGGGATGGCCCCCACTTATGTGGGAGGTCATCCCATTTTGCCCCGATGTGTATAATCCGCCCCGAAAGTTGTATTTTTCGGACTATTTTTGTCATATTTTATTTTATCGGACCAAATAAAATATATCACGCGTTCCCAATAATTATGGGCCTTTAGAATAGATGTATATTCCCCAACATTAATTTAGGAGTCTCCGAAACTCATTTCGGGCTGTTATCCGCTAAATTACTAATACCGGTAATTGGGCCCCGTTTGACCAACCGGTCAACTCCATGCCTCCCTTATGGCCCAAATAAAATATCCACCACCATATAGATGTCATCTAGACCAAGATGAATATAATGTGGTTCGGGAATTATCGGGCGACCCCCCGGTCCGGACGTGGGCCCCACATGCAATTTACTATTCACGTAAAAGAATTAATAAAAATTTACATTTACGCAATTTCATAAATCATCCTTTAAGGTTTATTAC